ACGACTACAAGAAGCAGTACGGCAGCGAGTACAAGGAGCGCTTGGACGACCTTGAGACTGCGGGGAAGACGAGCGCAGGAGGGCTTGACCCAGGGTTACGGCTCGTTGTCACCAAGAAGGCGTTCAAGACGATTTCATCGAAACTGATGGAGGATGCAGTGGAGAAGGCGTACAAGGCGGGTTCCAGGTCGGCCATCAAGATTGCCCAGGACCAGCAGCTGAACGAGAGTTCGCGTGAGTCTGGCAACTCGAGCACCTCGTGGCTCCACGCGAGCGCCAGCTGAGCTCGCGCGAAGGCGCCAGCATCAGAGTGGCAGCAGAGCGAGTGCACTCCTCGGACCAGCCTGGTCCTTTCGGCCATCTTGGCCGCGCACGCGCAGAGTTAAGAGATCAGTCGGCCTGCCTGGCCTCAAAAAAACACATGTGGCCATGGGCTTGGCGTTAGATCGCAAGTCCCAGCGTGCCATCGCGGCTGCTGGGCGCACGTCGCCAAGTTTTGCTATCGGCGTTAGATCGCAAGTCCCAGCGTGCCATCGCGGCTGCTGGGCGCACGTCGCCAAGTTTTGCTCCAGCGAAGAGGAGGATCGATCGGACGGGGCGGACGACGTGTGCTACCTGTTGAGGGTGGGCGCGGGTGGCGCAGGATAGTCCAATCGTTGCAGCGCTGGTTCGGGCCCGCCGCATTCTCGCGAATGGGGCGGGGCACTGGGTGGCGACCTTTCCCTGAGCACTGCCAAATGCACGTTTCTCTGCTGCTCGACAATGCTCCCTGTCTTGTCTGCGAGTCATCTACCCGTTCAACTCCTCGCCCCCGCCCGCCCCATCCCCATGGAGTTCTAGACGCTTCGCGCATCCCCGCCAGCCCATCCAGAATCGACGCCCAGGCGAGTTGAGGGGCGATCAAGGATTCACGGGGGCAAAGAGGGGGGCGGCCGAACCGCGCGATGGAGAGAGTGGGGCGAATGGGGAAGTTGGATGGATGGATGAGGGAGTAGGGAGAAGGAGGACGAATGAGATGAGGAGGAGGAGGGGACGGAGAGGGAGGAGGAGGATGAGATGAGACAGGAGGAGGAGGATGAGATGAGACAGGAGGAGGAAGGAGGGGGAGGAGGAGAGCGAGCAAAAGAGGCAGATGTCTCCTGGATGCTCTTCGGGGCCTCCTGGTGTATCTGTTGAGCGTCTTGGGGCGCATTGGGGGTCTCTGGGCGGTCGTGGGGGGGCTCTTCGGCGCCTCGGGTGTCTCGGGTGGGCCTCTTGGGGCCGCTTGGGATCCTTTTGGGACCCCCCTGGGGGCCTCTGGGGCCGTCTTGGGGCCACCTCGGAACCTCTCAATGGGCACCTCCTGGTCGCTGCTTGGGGCCACCTTGGAGGAGATCTATTAAACGAGAGGGGTGCAGTAATTAGCGCACCCCCTCCCCCCTCCCCAGGAGGTCACTTTGGGGCCGAATCCCAAGGGACCAAACAGGATGGACGCAACACTGGAGCCATAATGGTGCCAGCGCCCTCGTAAAAGCGCCCAGGCCAAGGAGGGGGCGTAGGGGGGGGGGGTAAACCACTCCCCGATGAGGAGAATGAGGGGTGGAAAAGGAAACGCCCTAAACCACCTGCGCCCAGAGGGCTGGTGAGATTTCGCCTTCGGCCGCGCCTGGCCGAGTGCTTGCCGCGGGCGCCGTGGCTGCGCCAACTGGGCCCGACATTCAGCGTGATACCGATGGGGGGCGCATGTACATGTGTCCCCCATCGGTATCATGGCTGGGAGATGCCGCAATGTTTCGCGTCGCCCCCTTTCACGCATCGGCGCCCCGCCCGCCCCAGATGCCCCCTTGACGTCGTACTCTGTCATTCTGGCAATGTCGGCTCCCCATCTCTATTGTTCTCTCTCACTCTATCTCTCTCCCTATTGCTCTCTCATCTCTCCCCCTGCCCCTCTCCGCCCGTTCCTTCTGCGCAGCGCCTTGGCCCGATCTCCCATCTTGCCCGCCCCCGTCGACGCCGCCCGTTCGCAGCCGCTCCTGGCAGGCCAGCCTGAACATGATTAACGCTGGCAAACTGACAACGTACCTCGCAGTATTCGGCTGGACAAGTTTAAAGCCGCTGGCTATGTTTACCACTCACTCTCTCTCTGCTGCACGTATGCACATAGGTGCTACCAAGAGGGACGCAGCGCGTTCTCTGTCTGCGTCGGGCTCCCACGCCCCTCTAACGACGTTAGGCCCACGTGTTTCAAACCGTTCTCGGGCCGGCGCAGATGGAAAGGCTGCCATCGCAGGATGGAAGACCAGAGCTTGGGTCAATAAGACCAAAGATCCGGCCGCATCCAAAGAATACCCACCGGCGTTTTGCGAAGCTGTCGCAGAGTTCATAGCGCAGACGCGCTAGACACACCGTGCACGCGGCGCTGTATATATTTACATTTATATGTATATGTGTATACATGTGTATATATAAATTTATATCATATAACTGCAACTGACAGCACGCCAACGCACGTTGCACGCACGCACACGATGCATTTCATAATTAGCCAGCCTGCCGACGTTGCCAGCGCCCGAGCCAGAGAGCAGATTTGCCCATGGCTGCCACAGCCGCCTGGAAATATGAGTGCAGCGTGGACGGGATGGTGGGATGGAGGAATGGAGCTAAGATGATGGGTGCGAGGTCCGTGGTAATCGCACTGTGATGATCGAATGCGCCCACGGCGAATCACCGCCGCCCCCTGCCTTTAGGATGTGCCGCGCTATTGGGCCATGTGTTTCCCCAGCCTTTGTGGAAGCCCTTCGGAGAACACATATACCAGCATTCGCGTGAATGCCAGTGCATGTGAAATCCTCATCCACCTCGCGTGCAACGCGCCTTCTTCTCGCAATCGCATCACTGCCCTGCTCCCCCCCCTTCCTCCAACCCTCCTACCGATCTCGTCGGCCCGAGATTCGGCGACGCGCCGCCGATCCGATCGATGCTCGAGCTCATAATTCTATTGCTATCAAGTGGCATCTTTCGGTCCTTACCGATTGTTGCACGCGAGGCCGTTCCACGCTCAATGCTATGATTTTCTTCCTTTTTTAAACAAAACAAGAAAATTCTTCAGGGGCCAGCAGGTGGCCCCAACTGACTTAAACTAGCGGCCAGGAAGGCTTGCTCTGTAGAGTGCTGCGCGTGTCGGGCAGCTATCTCCTTGGCTGCAGCCCGAGAAATCGTGGGTAGCCCGCTGGCCCCTGGAGAATTCTCGAGATCCTCGCAAAGAGCGTCGAACGTCGTCGCGCGCAGTATTTCGATAGTTACAAAACATGAAAAAGATCAAATATGGCAAAACCATCCTAAACCAGCATGATATACTAAAACAAAATAAGAACAAACACCACGTTCTTAAATTAAGATCCTGGCGGCCCCTGGGACGACCTGGGTACCTCCGGAACGCTCTCGGCGAGGCGCAGCTGCTGGAAGGCGCCCCGAGGCTGGACGACCGCCGAGAACCGACGAAAACTCCCGAGAACCTCAAGCCTCGAACGCTCGGGACGCCTCGAGCTGCCCCTGGGACAGGGAGCAGTGTCAGACCTGGCCCCCGACGCCGCCCCCGACGCAGGCTGCGCACGTGGCCGCAGCCCAAATCTGAGCGGGGAGCGACCGTCCCGGCATTCCTATAGTCCTACCGCGAAGTGGTCTCAGAACCCAAGAATGTCATGTGATAATAAAACACGACAGACTCCGCCAGAACTGCTCTAAGAACATGTCGTGGAACCCCCAAACGGTTCTTAGAACATTGTTTGGTAGGGCTAACCCCAGGAAGCATTTAAGAACCCCCCCCCTCCGGCAAATCGATAACCCTTCCGCACCATCATCCATATCCGCATCATCATCATCATCATCATCATCATCATCATCATCATCATCATCATCATCATCATCATCATCATCATCATCATCATCATCATCATCATCATCATCATCATCCTCATCATCATCCTCATCCTCATCATCCTCATCCTCATCCTCATCATCATCCTCATCCTCATCCTCATCCCTCATCCTCCATCTCATCCTCATCCTCATCTCATAATCATCATCATCATCATCTCTTCATCATCATCATCATCATCCTCATCCTCATCATCCTCATTCCTCCATCCTATCCTTCATCCTCATCCTATCCTCATCCTCATCCTCATCCTCATCTCACCTCATCCTCATCCTCATCCTCACTGCCTCTCCTCATATTCCTCCCCCCCCACCCCCCCCTCATTCCTCATCCTCATCCTCATCCTCATCCTCTCTATCCTCATCTCATCCTCATCCTCATCGCTCTATCCTCATCTCTTCCTCAGCCGCATCATCATCCTCCTCCTCATCCGTCAGCCTTCAGCCTCAGCCTCAGCCTCAGCCTCAGCTCAGCTCAGCCTACAGCCTCAAGCCTCAGCCTCAGCCTCAGGCCTCAGAACTACAGCCTCAGCCTCATTCCTCATCCCTCATCCTATTCCTCATCCTCACCTCATCCTCATCCTCATCCTCATCCTCATGTTCATTCCTCATCTCATCCTCATCCTTCATCATCATCATCATCATCATCATCATCATCATCATCATCATCATCATCATCATCATCATCATCATCATCATCATCATCATCATCATCATCATCAGCATCATCATCATCATCATCATCATCATCATCATCATCATTCATCATCATCATCATCATCATCATCATCATCATCATCATCATCATCATCATCATCATCATCATCATCATCATCATCATCATCATCATCATCATCATCATCATCATCATCATCATCATCATCATCATCGTGTCCGGAGCTATCGTTCGGTTATTTCGGCCCTTCGGAATATCGAGTAAAAAATGCGGTGCTACGATATCGCCGGGGGGGTTCTTAAATGCTTCCTGGGGTTATAGGCGAGCCAGGGCGCTTCGCCACTGCTTGACAGATCCGGGCAGGGCGCCCCGCTGGACGGGCGGGCCCCCGCGGCCGGCCGCGCGCGGCCTGCAGCTGTCCGCGGCCTGCGGCGGGTAGAAGCTCATGACGTTGGCGACCTCGCCGCGCCGTCGCCGCCGCCCCCTCCTCCTCCTCCTCCTCCTCCTCCTCCTCCTCCTCCTCCGCCTCCGCCTCCTCCCCTCCTCCTTCGCCTGATCCTCCGCCTCCTCCTCCTCCTCCTCCCTCCGCCTCCTCCGCCTCCTCTCCTCTCCCTCCTCCTCCTCCTCCTCCTCCTCCTCCTCCTCCTCCTCCTCCTCCCTTTTGCGTTGGGCACAAGATGGCTGGCGTGGGCCGTCGCGTCCTGATGGCCGCGATCTGGGAAAAAGAAAACTCGGAACGCAACTAGCGCGTGCACGATAGGAAACGGAGTGGCGGAAAATACTGGACAGGACGAGGAGCCCGCAAGGGCTCCCTCCTCCTCCTCCTCCTCTTCCTCCTTTTCCTCCTCCTCCTCCTCCTCCTCCTCCTCCTCCTCCTCCTCCTCCTCCTCCTCCTATTCCTCCTCCTTCTCCTTTTCCTCCTCCTTTTCCTCCGTCTCTGACGGGGGGGGTGTGATGCCGAGCCCCCCATCCCGAGAGGGCACGATCCGGGGACCGTCCAAGACCTGCTCGGAGCGAGAACGGCAGCGGGGGACGGGCTCCAAGGGGGAACCGTCGGGCTGGCATCGGCGATGCATCGCCAGTGGATCGGCGATGGGCCCCCCCTCGGAAGCCGGGCAAGGACTGCTACGTCCGTGGCTGCTAAAGTCGACCTCCGGGAAGTTGTCTTCGGCCTTCCGGGAAGAAGCCCGTGGACTGTTTCGCGTGCCGCGCCTCCTTCCGGGAAGCTGTTTTTTCCTTCCGGGAGGGCCGTTTTAGCAGCCACGGCTTTAGCAGCCCTCGCCCAGCTTTCGACCCCCCCATCGTGAACCGGCACGTTCCTGGGAGGGGCGGGCTGTCGGGGCCTTGTCGGAGATCAAAAGCAGGGCTTTGGGCCCGAGGCGCTCCCCCCTGCCCCCTGAGCCGATCCCCGTCACAGCGCAGCCCGTCCTCGCCTTTTTGCACGGTTTTTCCGACTTGACCGGATATTTTCGAGGTGGGATGCGTCTGGATGGGCCCCCCCAGGTGTGCCCCCCGAATTTCCTTCCTGTTCTGAGCGACTTTGCGGTGGGACTCGGGGACTTAGAGGCTTCCCAGATGGGGTCCGAGTAGGTGGGGTCGGAGGATCGCACCGCATCGTCGATGCATCGGCGACGTCGGCGATGCATCGGCGATGTCGGCGAGGAGAAAGTCGGGCTCCATATCGCGCCGCATCGGCGATGTATCGGCGATGCGGCGTGATCCTCCGACACCATCTGTTCTGAGGCCTGCAGAATGGGCTCCCCTGGGTGCGTATCCCAGAAACCTCCTCCTCTCCTGGGCGGCCTGACTTTTGGAAGAGAAGCTCGGGGACCTGAAAGGGGGGGAATTTGCCTGCGAACCTTATCACCGTCCTCCTCCGCCCTCCACGCTGGCTCGGAGTCGGCCACGCGTCGACGATGGATCGGCGACGGGCCCTGGACAGCACACGCTGGGCGTTCTCGAACGGGATGGGGTCGCCCAGGCCCCGATTGGCCACGGATGGGCGATCGGGATCGACCTTCCCCGCCCCTTGAGCGAGTCCCCTCGACGAGCCTTCTCCCTGGGCGACGAATGGGCGATTCGGGGTCGCTGTTCCTAGGGAAACAAAAACTGGCGTAAACGTAAAAACTCTGAAATCCGCGCGGATTTCTCGGATCGGCGCTGGACCCCCCTCCCTGGCGCGCGGAGCGCGCCAGGGGCGGCGCCGGAGGCGCCGCCAGGGGGGGGGCCCAACGCGTATCCCAGAACTCCGCGCGGACTTCCGAGTTTTTATGCTCATGTCACCTTTTGTTCACCACACGAAGTGAAGTGAACGGTTCACCTTTTGGGAGCTTCTGAGGGGGAGGGTAGGGCTCACCTTTTAGTGTTATCTTTTGTTCCCCCAGTTCCCCCTCTGGGCAAGTCCCCCACCGTCGCTGCGCTCGGGCCGAGCGCTCCTCGCCGTCGGGGTTCTCTTAGGTTCGCGGCTCGGCCCTCGGGCGGCCGTCTTGGGGACCCTCTGGGCACCTCCCGGGTGCCCCGTGTGGGCGAGGCACGGCTGCTGGAAAGAGAGCACCCGAGGCGAGGAGACCTCTGAGATTGATTGATTGATTGGGCAGCTGATGGCGGCAGCTGTGGCTCCGTGACTGACGACTCCAGACCTGCAGCCTGGGCTGGAAACATTGAACGCTACGGACATCACTGGCACGTCCAAGAGGAGGGAGGGGAGGAGGAAGGGGGGGGAAACGCCTGGAAGCCCTCCGAGCAGAACGCTATCTGCCAGAGGCAGCCGAGGTCGTGCTGCTCCTGCCAAAAGCCTCGGCCCCTTCCCGGGGATTCGATCCCCGTCCCGAGTTCTTTTTCTTGATGGTCCTGGGGCCCGGTGGAGGCCCCTGGAGGCCAAAAGTTGCCAAAAACCTCCCGTCGCGATTGGTGACTGGGGGTCGATGTTCCCTCCGCCCCGCCTGAGCCGTGGGCCATATCCCCCCCTCCCCCTCCCTGTTCTTCCCGAGCGCAAGAAATGCGTGGCCCTCCAGCACGTGACGTCTCGAGTGGAGCTCGACTGTCGGGGTCCTGGCCGGTGCTGGACCTCGCCGCTGGTAACCCTCCTCCTCCTCCTCCTCCTCCTTCTCCTCCTCCTTCTTCTCCTCCTCCTCCTCCTCCTCCTCCTTTCGAGCCTTTCGAGCGCGGCCCAATGGTCTCCGCGAGACACCTCCTCCTCCTCCTCCTCCTCCTCCTCCTCCTCCTCCTCCTCCAGTTCATCCTTATCCTTATCCCTCCTCCTCCTCCTCCTCCTCCTCCTTCCCGCTCCTCCTCCTCCTCCCGCCTCCCTCTCCGTCCTCCTCCCTCTCCTCCTCCCCATGCTTCCTTCTCGCCCCGGGCATGCGCCGTCCCGCCGACCATCTCTAGCCCGATGGCGCTCGTCAGCCTGCAGACGCTTCCCATTCGGTAGCCACTCCTCCGTTTAGGAGGCAACTACTGGGAGATCTTCGTCGGAAAGAGTAAGGAGGATTAAGCTCCATTTGGGAGCTGTTCTGCTGGAGTGGGCCTCGGATTCAGCGGGATTAAACGGGATTAAGCCGGATTAAGCGGCATTCAGCGGGATTAAGCGGGATTAAACAGGATGAAGCCGGATTTCGGACTAGGGCGAAAACAGAATTTGACCTCCCAGGAGTTGCATCCTAACTCCGTTCTCCTGGCTCCTCCACCCTTCGGTTACACCCAAAGTGCGACTCTAGGCAAGAGTCACCCCTGGTGCGCGGCGCACGGGGACCGCGGGGCGGCTGAACCCGGGCGCGCGAGCCGCTGCTACCTGTCCGCGTTCAGCGATCGGAGAGCCCCATCCCCTGACCTTCCCGGAGGGCGGCAAACACAGCACCAAAACCTTGGCGCCCAAATTCCCGCCGAGGTTCTCGGCAGTCCAGACAGGCCTCCGGGTCCGGAGATGGCCATTCTTCGGCACTCTTGAAGGTGCGACACCTGGGCCCGCACCACCAGAAGCCGCTCCGAGTGGCGCGAAAGGGCCACTCCCACTTAGTGACCCACCCCCTCCTGAAGGCCCGGGCTGCCAGACTCCCCCCGAGGCCCGCCCACCTCCCCGGCCGCGGGAGTATAGGAGAGCCCAGGATCGGATCGATGGGTCGGGTCGGCGATCAAAACGAATCGGATCCGCAGAACTCGGCAGCCGAGTCGGGAGAAGCCGAACGGGCGGAACTCGGCCGACCGGTGGGCCTTCATGGAGAGAGCGGAATACAGATCGGAATATCCCACGTCGAATCGAATCGGAATCGGAGACCATCGAAATCGAATCGAATCGAATTGGAGTCGGAATGAGCCTTGCGGGGGGGGGGGCGCCCCGAGTCCACCTCCACGGTCGGCGCCTCCCATACCATCTCATCGGCTCTTGTGAATCGACGCCGATCGACGCTAAATCGCAATAATAATCGACGCTGGCCGACGCTGGATCGGCGATATCTCATTGACTCCCCGACGCTAACCGACGCGAAAGACGGAATTCAGCGGGCCTCCCGGACTCCAGTGATCGGTGATCTTCAGACCCGACGTTTGAGCAGGGACCGACCGTCCCGGCATTCGTTTAGTCCTACCACGAAATGTTCTTAGAACCCACACATGTTCTAATAAGCAAACCAATGTTCTTATAGAACATAAACCCGATGCGATAACACAAGACAGACTCCGCCAGAAATGTTCTGAGAGCATCTCGTGGACACCACCAAAGGTTCTCAGAACATTGTTTGGTAGGGCTCCAGGCGAGCCAGGACGCTTCGCCACTGCTTGAAGAGAGGAGGAGGCGGAGGAGAAGGAGAAGGAAGAGGAGGAGGAGGAGGAAGAGCAGGAGGACGAGGGGGAGGAGGAGGAGGAGGAGGAGGAGGAGGAGGAGGAGGAGGAGGAGGAGGAAGAGGAGGAGGAGGAGGAGGAGAAGGATAAGGAGGAGGAGGAGGAGGAGAAGGAGGAGGAGGAGGAGGACGAGGGGGAAGAGGAGAGGGAGTGACCTGCCACCGAACTCCCCCCCGCCGCGCCGGAGGGGGGGGCGGCGCACCGAGTCCACCCCCACGGTGGGCGCCATGCCAAGGCCCGCGTAGGGCGCGCACGCCACGGTGCGGTTGGCGGCGGCCTCCGGGCGCGGCGGGGCGGCGGGTGGTGCGCGCGGCTTCGATCCTCGCGTGTTTTTGTTTTGTTCCGCGATCTCGGCCCTCGCGGGCCGGTCTCGGGCCCCGGGGCCACGCTCCCCCAGAGCTCCGCCGTGGCGAAACTCGACCCCCAGGGGAAGCGCGGTCGGGAGCAGTGTTCGCGTCGTGGAAAGGGATCGCGACAGAAGGCTTCGGGATGTTTTCGGCATCCGAGGGGCCCTCACCAGGCCCTGGGGGGCGACGATATCCGACACCGTGCCCTCCCCTGGCACGTTGAGTCGTGGCAGAATGCCAAGTACTGTCTGGTATGGTAGGGGTCCTGTATTCTACTTAGGGGGCCCCCCATCTACCAGCATCTGCCGGCAAGGCGGCAAGCATCGCCCCCCCTCAGAGACCACGACCTCTCGTAACAAAAACTACTCCGACGATAGAACCCCACTAGAGAATCTTCCAAACGAATCTATATTAATCCTCCTCGCGGTCCTTGGGACTACGGAAGCTCTCTTACTCTTTGGTCTTTGATTGAGGATGATCGTCTCGGATTACTGACATGAAGGAAGTGAAGGCCCATAGGGGCGGGGCTTCCGCTCGAGACGTCCTCGCGATTCACTCACGTACGAGGCTCCCGCTGTAGACTGCTTCCAAACTCAGGCCTGAGGCGCCTAGAAATGATTACAATTACAAATTAGGATAACCCGCTCGGATTCGAACATGGAGGCGGGGACCCCATAGGCAAATTTGGATCACCCGCTCGGATTCGAACATGGAGGCGGGGACCCCATAGGGAGAGGCTCCCGCTCGTGACTTCCTCGCAGACGAGGCTCCAACTGGAGACTTCCTCCAGATTCAGGCCAAAAGAGCCCAACCATGACGACAACTACAAGACTTGGATGACCCGCTCGGATTCGAACTTGGAGGCGGGGACCCCATAGGGAGGGCTCCCGCTCGGGACGTCCTCACGATTCACTCACAAACAAAGCTCCCGCTGGAGAATTCCTCCAGATTCAAACGCGAGTAGCCCATACATGACGACAGCTAAAGGATTTGAATGACCGATCGGAGCCAGGATGATGACAAATGATGACAAATGATGACAATACTGATGATGCTGATGATGATGATGATGATGATGATGATGATGATGATGATGATGGTGGTGATGATGATGATGATGAGGATGATGACGTGATGGTGATGCTGGTGAGATGAGGGGGGGAGTCTTGCGCGGGGATGCAGGGCAACGAAGACAAGCTGCGCATTCGGGCTCCAAAAGCAACGACCCATTGTTAAGAAGTATGAATCCGCATCCCGTGCTAACACGACGACCCATGCAAGCATGCTAGAACAACCAAGATTGCCCAATAAGCCTAGGAGACGGCCTGGGATGGCTCCAAGTCTCCCGAATAGTGCATCAAGGCGGCCCAAGATGCCTCCGAGAGGGCCCAAGAGGGCAACGGGAAGACCTCCAACAGGGTCCGAGGACACCAAACGGAGTAATCCCAGCAGCCCTCTGGGCGTAGCTGGTTTAACGAGTGTTGCCTCCTATGCCCCTCCTGCCCCTGCTCGGGGAAGGGGTGTTACCCCTCCCCCATACCACCTCCCCAGGGCCTGCAGGGGGGGCGTGTAGTTCGGGTTTCAAGACGTTCCCAAGATGGCTCCCAGAGGGCCCCCGGCAGCCCAAGACGGCCTCCAAGTTGGCTGAAGATAGCCGAAGATGGTGGTGGTGGTAATGATAGTGGCGATGACGATGCTGGTGATAGTGGTAATGGTAATAATGGCGGTGACGAGGATGCCGACGATGATCGTGATAAGGGTAATGATGGTGATGATGACAACGCTGACGGTGACGACGCTGATGACGATGACGATGACGATGACGATGACGATGACGATGACGATGATGACGATGACGATGACGATGACGATGACGATGACGATGACGATGACGATGACGAGGATGAGGATGAGGATGAGGATGAGGATGATGATGATGATGATGATGATGATGATGATGATGATGATGATGATGATGATGATGATGGTGTTGATGGTGGTGATGATGGCAACGACGAAGGTAATGACCCCTGGGCCCGGGAAAGGGAGGGGACGGGCAGTTCGAATTGCAAGGTGTGCCCAAGATGGCTTGAAAAGGGCCCTCGGCAGCCCAAGACGGCCTCCAAGATGGCTGAAGATAGCCGAAGATGGTGGTGGTGATGATGGTGGTGATAACGATGCTGATGATGGTGGTAATGGTAATAGTGGTGGTGACGATGATGCCGACGATGAAAGTGATAAGGATAATGATGATGATGACGACGATGACGGTGACGACGCTGATGACGATGACGACGACGACGACGATGACGATGATGACGATGATGATGATGACGACGACGACGACGACGATGATGATGATGATGATGATGATGATGATGATGATGATGATGAATGATGATGCTGCTGCTGATGATGATGATGATGATGATGATTGTGTTGATGGTGGTGATGATGGCAACGACGAAGGTAATGACCCCTCCTTCATACCACCTCCCCTGGGCCTGGGAAAGGGAGGGGACGGACAATTCGAATTTCAAGGTGTGCCCAAGATGGCTTGAAGAGGGCCCTCGGCAGCCCAAGACGGCCTCCAAGATGGCTAACGATAACCGAACCTGGTTCGATCTAGCCTCCTACGTACCTCCAAGAGGCCCCAAGGCAGCCCCAAGACCATTCCAAATGCCCTTCGAACTTTCCTAGGCACCCTCCCAGAGGCGAACCTCATTCAAAGGCCTGAAGGAAATCAATGTGTGTTGCCTTCTCGCGGTTTCGCTTCTGGTGTGTTTCTTTGCGGCCTCAAAATGGCCCAAAGAACGCCTCAGACAGCCCCAAGTGGGGCTCAAGAGCGCGCCAAGATGGCTCCAAAAACTCCCAAGAGACGCCCAAGAACGGCCCCACGGGGCCCCAAGACAGAATGTGTGAGCTTCCGAGGGGGGGGGGGCTGAGGAGGGCTGAGTTGACCTCCCCCCCCTCCCCCCCCCTCCCCCCTTCTTTCCCCCTCTTTCCGAGCCATGAAGGCCAGGAGGCCTCCCAGACCCATCCAGTGAGCCCCAAGAGGGCCCCAAGACCCCCATAGCGAGACCCAAGAGGGCCCCAAGACGGCCCCAAGAGTGCCCCAAGAGGCCACACGGGGACCCCAAGAGAGCCCCTAAGATTGCCTTGATCGTCCGTCAAGAACCTCTCACAACAACATGTCTCCAACGCCCGACGTCTCATCCTCCTGGTCAGCCCCCATTCCTTCCCTCATCCTCCTTCCCTCCCTCCTCCTCCTCCTCTCCTCCTTCCCTCCTCCTCCTCCTCCTCCTCCTTCCCTCCCTCCTCCTCCTCCTCCTCCTCCTCCTCCTCCTCCTCCTCCTCCTCCTCCTCCTCGTCATCTTCCTCGCGCCGCAGTCCACATCCTCCTCTCGTTCCCCCTCCTCCTCCTTCCCTCTGTTTCCTCCCTCTCCTCCTCCTCCTCGTCCCGCTCTTCCTCTTCCTCCCCTTCTCCCCAAAATGGTCCCCGGAGATCGAGCATGGCTCAATATAGCCTCCGACAGACCTCCAGGAGGACTCATGACAGTCGCAAGATTGCCTAAGCTAGCTGAGCATGGCACGAGACAGCCTCCAAGAGGCCTCAAAGAAATCTCAGATCGTGTCTGGATAGACTGGTGGAAGCGTCAATAAGTTCCACTGGATTTGGATTATGCTCGCAATCTCGCCTGGTCGGGCTTCCGTCAGCCCAAGGCCGTCCAAGGAGCCTCCACGATGGCCCCAGGACGGCCCAGGAGGCACCCAAGAGGGTCCTAAGATCTAAGATGGCCCAAGAGGACAAGATAATCCAATAAGGCCAGGAAGCATCCAGAACGGCCCCGAGAAGCCCCAAGTGGGCCCCTGGTGGCACCCCATACGAACTTGCAAAACCCATTCGGCGACCCAAGACGGCGTCAAGACTGCCCCACGACGGCCTCCAGGCACGCACCGTGCGGCCCGAGAGAGCCCCAAGACGGCCCGAGAGGCCCCCAAGACGGCCCCAAAGGCCACCAACGACTGCATCACAAGAAATCAAGGCAACCCCACATACGGCCGCAACTAAGAGCTCAACCCATATTGAACAGATTGAACACGGAAGGTGGAACGTGTGACGGCCTCCCCCGTCCTCCTGCGTCTCATCGTGTTTCTCCTCCCCCTCATCATCATCATCATCATCATCATCATCATCATCATCATCATCATCATCATCATCATCATCATCATCATCATCATCAGCAGCATCATCAGCATAGGCATCATCACCACCACCACCAGCATCATCATCATCACCAGCATCAGCATCACAAACATGCTCATGAGTATGATCAATATCATGAGTATGATGAACACACTCGTCAGAATCATCACTAGCGTCACCACCAGCATCTTAACCATCACCATCACCAACATCACCATCATCATCGTCAGCATCATATTGATGATAATCCTCGACACCATCACCATCATCATTATTATCAATATCCAGAGCATCATCATCATCATCGTCGGCAGCAGCACCAGCGTCATCATCCACCGTCATCAACATCATATGGTTTACTATCATCATCATCGTCATCAGCAGCACACTCATCCTCAGCATCAGCATCAGCATCATCATCATCATCATCATCATCATCATCATCAGCGTCAGGATCATCATCAACCTCCTCAGTATCATCATCGTCGTTATATATCATCACCAGCATCGGCATCATCGTCATTATCGTCAACACCCGCAGTACCAGCGTCAGCATCACAATCAGCATCACCTTCACCGTACCATAAGCATCATCATCCTCCTCATCATCATCATCTTCATCGACATCGCAATCCTCGTCGTCAGCTTCATCAGCATCACCATAAGCATCGTCATCACCATCACAATCATCGTCATACTCATGACCACCACCACCATCATCAGCAGCACAAGCATCATCCTCCCCCGGTCACCCGCATCCTCATCGTCATCATCAGCCTCGTCATCATCGTCATCCGCATGATCATCATCACCATCATCATCTGCAGCAGCAGCAGCATCAGCATCACCAACATAAGCAGCAGCATCAACATCTCCATCAACATCTTCGTCGTACCATTTGCACGACCGTAAAGGTGATCATAATCATCATTACCATTGTCAGCATCATCACCATAACCATCATCACCATAACCATCATCACCATCATCATCAGCAGCTTCATAAGCATCATCGTCATCGTTGTCGACATCATCATCAGCATCAGCATCATCATCGTCATCATCGGCATCATCAAAAGCATCATCAGCATCAGCATCGTCATCAACATCATCATCGTCATCAAAATCATCATCCTCATCATAATAATCCCAACCATCGTCATCCGCAGGGTCGTCATCGTCATCGTCATCGCCATCATCGCCATCATCACAATCATCACCATCACCACCATCAGCACCACACCACTAACACCGTCACCACCATCATCATCGCCATCATCATCATCATCATCATCATCATCATCATCATCATCATCATCATCATTATCATCATCACCATCATCATCATCATCATCAGCATCGTCATCGTCGTCTTCGTCAGCGTCAAGATCATCACCATCATCCTCAACAGCCTCATCACCATCGTTATCATCATGGATCTTCCAAGCCCGGAGACATGAACTGTCACACGGAACGTCCCGTGCTTCCTCGAACATTCGCAACCAACATTCTGGGCTGGCACGACGGCGGGACTTGCCGCAGGCACCTGGGACCGTCAAGAGCAGATCTTGGGCGCGAGCTCTGGGGCCACGAATGGAACAAACATCAGCTCGGAGGATGTCAGGCAGGGTCCGGGTCGTGGAAGACGATCGCGACGGAAGGCTTCGGGATCTTCTTGGCCTCCGAGGGGTCTGGACCACTTCCCGAGGGCCGGTTTTTCGCCCTGCGTCGTTTCTTGACGGTCCCGAGGCCCGGTGGGTTGAGCAGGGACCGACCGTCCCGGCATTCCTATAGTCATACCACGACATGTTCTTAGAACCAAAAATGTTCTAAGAACACAAACAATCTTCTTAGAACATGAAGCCGATGTGTTAAAACAAGACAGTCCCAGCCAGAAAGGTTCCAAGAACCTTTCGTGGGAGCCACAAACAAATTCTTAGAACATGGTTTGGTGGGGCTATAGGCCAGCCAAGACGCTTCGCCACTGCTTGAGTGGGGGCCCCCAGAGGCCGAAAACCGCTCAGAACCCACCGCCCCGACTCTTTCTGGAACGTCGGGTCTCTGGATGGAGGGCCCGGGCCCGGGCCCCCCCTTCGCCGTGCAGCCTCGGAGCCGCGCGCGCAAACTTGCGAGGCTGGCGCCGGGCTCCCCTTGTTTGAAGGGGCCCAGGGACACACAACTAAATACACACAAATAAAATATTCCCCGTAGTTTCAAATACTTTCAGGGTTTCTTGTCTTCCCCACCACTCTCCATATTTTCCCGTATTTTCTGGGGAGTAGAGGATTAATTGTGTCTGTGTGATTCTTTCCCTCCTGACTTGCTCCCTGGCGCGCGGAGCGCGCCCGGGGCGGCCCTGGAGGCGCCGCCGGGTGGGCCCCGAGCTGGAGGCCTCCCAGCTGGGGTCCCGGTGGATGGCGTCGGACCGGAAGATCGCACCGCACCGCCAGCGCATCGCCGATGGATCGGCGATGCCTCGGCGACGCCTCGGCGACGCATCGGCGACGCATCGGCGATGCGTCGGCGTGGAGCAGCACGGGCTCCACGTCGGGCCGCCTCCCTCCTCCTCCTCCTCCTCCTCCGCCTCCTCTCCTCCTCCTCCTCCTCCTCCTCCTCCTCCTCCTCCTCCTCCTCCTCCTCCTCCTCCTCCTCCTCCCCCTCATCCTCCCCCCCCCCCCCCGCGGCGCGACCCTCCGACCCCATCTACTCCGACCCCACCTGGGAGGCCTGGACGGGTGGGCCCCGAGCCGACTCAAGAAAAATCGGCGCGCGGGGACCTCCGGAAGTGTATATGCTCGTGCAGGTCGCACGGCACGCGCGGCAGGGAGCGCGACGGGATGTCTCGGCAGATGCTTGGCCCCCATTCTCTTGCCAGTCCTCCTCCTCCTGCTCCCTCCTCCCACCTCCTCCTCCTCCCTCCTTCTCCTCCTCCTCCTCCTCCTCCTCCTCCTCCTCCTCCTCCTCCTCCTCCTCCTCCTCCTCATCCCGGGAGGGGGGAGGAGGGAGAAGGGAGGAGGCCACTGGGCCCCGGGGCCGCCAAGGAACGGCTCGGGATGGCAACCGGCTCCGGGGGATCGGCCGAGGCCTGAAGGGGCCCACGCCGCGAAGCACGCTCACGACGTGGCTCAGGGCTCGGGCGAGGCGGCCCGCCAGGTGGAGCGCCCCGGCTCCGACGGGCGTTGCTTCCGCGGGACGCCCTGACATCCGCCCGCGTGCTTGTGTCCATCCGCGGCCTCAGAGGTCCAGACTTGGCGGCGAGCAAAAGGGGGTAGGGGGAGGGGGGAAGGCTTCTTAGAAGCACCCTGCTTCTTAGAAGGCCTCGGCCTTACGTCTATAGAGAAGGCCCGCGCCTTCTAAGAAGCAGGGGTGCTTCTAAGAAGCCGTCCCCCCTTCCCCTACCCCCCTCTGCGCGTTGCCGACAGACGGCTTCCCTGGGGGGCGTTTCGTCCCGGGTCTGTGTTTGATTGCCCTGGGCACCGACAACGGTCCGAAGCCGAGCAAAACAGCGGGCTGACACAGTCATATCATCGTCGGAGATCTGGGCTCGGCGTCGTCCGAGCGATGCCCCAGCTAGACCCAGCACCGCCCGAGGAGGACGAAAGGAGCGCATCTGACCTGCCCTCGGGAGGCCAACTTACTTTCAGATGAGCGGCAGGGGCCACCGCCACCGAGAACCCAGCGGGGAGGGGGGACGGGGCGGGCGACCTCAGAGCGGTGGCGCGCCCGAGAGCCAACCAGTACAGGACGACGCGAAAGCGTGCCATCGCCCAGGCGCTCGCGCTCGGTGGTAGTGATCCCTCGCTATCTTCTTTAACCTGAGAAACCAAACAAATACGGATGCCGCCACTCCGCTAACCTCTACTGGGGTGCGTGCTGAGCAAAATTTTGAGGCGAATCCAGCTGTGGTCGGTAGCGGTGTCGGTACTGTTGTTTCCTCAGAAACTGTGCCCGTGCGCTACACCCTTGGCGTCCAGAGGTGCAAGCAGCAGCATGGGGCCGCAGACATGCGATGTCTTGATTCTTGCGGACGCACTGCCGCGGGTCAATGCAAACCCGGGTCCCCTGGCGCGCGGAGCGCGCCAGGGGCGGCGCCGGAGGCGCCGCCGGGGGGCTCCAGCGCCAATCCGAGAAATCCGCGCGGACCTCCGAGCTTTTATGATTATGTCACTTGTTGCTCCCCTAATCTTGCGCATCTTCTGCAGCATTGCGCTGTGCGCTGGCCTGCTCCAGGGAACGCGCTCGGACAATGCACTCAGCAGTCGGGGCCACGCGGGACCCGCAGAGCCGGCGCTGCGAGAGGCACGGCCAGAGGGCGGTGCGCGCTGGGCCCAGGGGGGGGTAAGGATCGAGCCCTTTGGCCTCCTCCCGCGCACCAGCCCCATCTTCCCTTGTCCTCACATCCCTGTTTCCCTCTCACATCACGCACATCATCCCCAATGCATTCCGCCCTACTCCCACACTTCCCCTTTCGCGTTCAACCCCAAACATCCGACATCGTGATTGTTTCATCACCGTGGCTCACACCCCTTCCCGAGAACAGGCTTTTCGGCCCGACTCGTTTTTTAACTTCTGGCAAGGGCCCCTGGAGGCCGAAAATTGCAAGAGCCTCCCGCCGCGTTATTTGTGTCACGACGAAAGGATGTCAGGGACCAGCATTCGAATACTCGCCCCCGCCCTCCTCCCCTCAACCTCCTATCTCTCTCCCCCTCCCCCTAGAAGAACAACAACCTGCATCAGCGCGGATTTCTCGGAACGGCGCTGGGCCCCCCTACCTGGCGCGCCGAGCGCGCCAGGGGCGGCGCAAGAGGCGCAACCAGGGACGCCCAACGCCGAGCCAAAAATGGGAGCGGAACTCTGAGAAAGTGAACGTTTTCTTCACTCGGCGTTTCGACACTGTGCGAAACGGGAGGGGGGGAGGGGGGGGGTGTCTGGCTCCAGATCTCGGCTTAGCGCGGCTGTTTGCAGCAGCGCGTCCGTTGGGGGAGAGGCTCCACCTGCTCGAAGCAGGCGCCAAACACAGCCAAGATCTACTCCATGGGAGGGGATGCGAGGGCCTGCGCCGATCGGCAAAGCAATGAATAAAAACCTGATTACCCATCATGTTCATGCCATTTTGTGCTGCAATCTCCCCCTCCTCCTCTCCCACTCCTGCTTCACGGGGGGGGCAGGCCCGCACGAACGGCTCCTCCGGCTGCGAGGCAGCCGCGATGGCGTAGGCCGTGCGGGCGTACGTCTGGATGAGGGGTACGCCATCGTCCAAACCGTTGCGGACGCACTGCGGCGTTGGGGCGAGGGAATGGAGGAGGAGGAGGAGGAGGAGGAGGAGGAGGAGAAGGAGGAGGAAGGGAGGAGGAGGAGGAGGAGAGGAAGGAGGAGGAGGAGGAGGAGGGAGGAGGGAGGAGGAGGAGGAGGAGGAGGAGGAGGATGAGAGAGGAGTAGGAGAGGAGGAGAGTAGGAGGAGGAGGAGGGAGGAGGAGGAGAGACTGAAGGGTGGTAGGAGCGGAGGGGGGGAAAGAAATGATGAGGGGGAAAGGAGTTGAGGAGGATGAGGTCGAACGGAGCTTTGGAACCTTCAGCCCCAGAGCCTCCCGGGAGGCCCCAAGAGGTCTCAAGAGGTCCCAAGAGGCCCCTAGAGGCCCCCAAGAGGCCTCCAGGAAGACACACAGGAGGCTCCCAAGAGACCCCCCCAAGAGGCTCTAGACGACCCTCCTCGTCCACCTGTTCCATCTCCTGTCCTGCTCACATATAGGGTCGGCGGCACTAGCCGTAAGGCCTTCACAATAGAGGAAGAGGAGGAAGAGGAGGAAGAGGAGGAAGAGGAGGAAGAGGAGGAGGAGGAGGAGGAGGAGGAGGAGGAGGGAGAGGAAAAGGGGAAAGAGGAGGACGGGGGGAAGGAGTGGGATAAAAAAGAGGAGGAGGACGGGAAGGAGGAGGAGGAGGAAGAGGAGGAGGAGGAGGAAACGGCGCGTG